CTGCACGGCAACGTTGTCGCTCTTGATTCACTGTTTTCTGCTGCTGTTTTAGTGCCACTCATTAAGAATACCTGTTCTGTGAGCATCTGAAGGTCTAGAACAGCAAAAATATTTGATGAGTATCCGACAGAAATCATCCAAATATCCTGGTTTGATAAGAGATGTTCCGTATACAAACCTGTAGCCTCCTATATGTTTTAAAACAGAATACTTGCGATATCCAAAGTTTCGACATACATCTTCATCAGAGTTCTGCCCTGAATGATCATTTTAAATACAACAATACTTTTTCCTGCAGCCTATTTTTCCTTTTGTAGAGCAGCGGGTCCATGTGAAAAGAAATCCAAGCTCTGAATTGCTCTAACAATGAGCTGCAAAAGCCTACTATGATGCATATCAACAATGAAATTGCACTGAAAACCTCACTGCTCCCGGTGAATTTCACCAGATCACCTTCACTTTAAAGCTCCCTACTTTACATTGCTGGACCACCTGTCAGGGGCGGCGGGACCGCTGAGATCTCTGCTATAATGACTTGGCATCGACTGGCCTTTGGTTTTCCAAAACAATCAAGCTGGGATGGTGAGTAAAACCCAGTTATGCAGGGCCAAATGGACCCGCAGAGCAAAGTAACCAAGCAAGGAATCAATCGAACAATCAAGTAAAGAACAAATCAGCCTTGTGAAGTTAAAAACCCCCTGAAAACTCAGCGAGCCATCACTGCAGCCAGTCTGTAAACTCGTGCGTGTACATTGGCTGGTTCTGAAGGGAATTTATCAGAGTCCGGAGTAATCCAAACATCTCTAATTATGATTCCAGATAAACTGTTTTACAGTTGGGCAGCTTCATCTACCAGGAGGAAAGAGGCGTTAACACGATACGTCAGTCTGCTCGCAGAAAGTTGGCAAAATACTCACTGAGAATCAAGAAATATTAGGACCACCTGCTCCTCCAGAAAAGCACACTAGGAGATGGAATCCAAGTCAAACCCGTGCTCCCTTATTCATTTCACTTCACTAAACACACTTGATTCACGGGCTGAGACGCAGATTACTCTAAGGGGAGAACAAATCATCATGACTCTGATATTGCTGGTGGTCTTAACGATGTGAACACAGTGGATTTACAGCTACGCTTACATGTGTTCTGCAAATCTTTCCCCTTCGCTCCCCGGGATGTTTAGGAAAATGTGAGGCGGTGCCAGCGAAACGCTGAAAGCCAACAAAATAATGGAAGCACCATGCCAATTTAACATAAGTGGATGCCCACTTAAGCCAAGCAATTACAGGTTCCCCTGCTTATTTAGCACACTATCATTAACTAAGACAAATTGCAAACATGATGTCTTTTGCATACGGGTTGTTTTTCAAGCACTGTGCACATAAGCTATCATACATCACAGCTTTACGTTACAGAGTTTGTGAATTATGAAACAATTGATAATACAGTGCTTAATAGAAAAGTGACGGGACTAAGCCAAATGATGCGTAACAAAACAAGGCTGCAGTGTACAGATGAGCAGCAAGTGCGACACAAAAGAAACAGCTGAAATATGACTTCATCAAAACGCTCCTTATCGTTTTAATATCTGTTTGCTAAAATGGGCTCTCTCCCCACAAACCATCACATCTCTGCAGGTCCATTGCATCCTGGAGAACTATTGGAACATACAATAATAAAAATGATTCTTTTATTTTGAAAGTGTAAATATAAGTAAATAAATCCTAGCAATACACAAAAATGAAATCAATACAAAAAATTACTGAGCAAAGGGTTTAGGCTAAAACTTTAGCTTATTACACTTACAGCCTTTTATAACAGGTATTCATTTATAAATAACTGGACATTATTAACTTCAGCTTATTGTTGTTATTATCTATATAACTAGGAAGCTCATTCTCCTTCTCTTGACGATACTTTAAAGATATAACACATTTTGGGATCACCTTAGCAGAAGGCATCGACAATATCATTTCCTAAATGTTGCCAGCATAAACAAAGGCAGTAAAATTTTAGCCTCATTTAAAGATAAAAGCCATTTTTACAAAAGTTTGACCTTATTTGACCTTGAAGAAGAGGTCAGAGGTCCAAGGTGACATGGCATTTAGAATCAGCATAGATCATCACCTGTATGTTGTCAATGCAAACAATGGCAGGTTTCAATAGTTCCAAATAGCATTATTATCACTTTGACCTTCAGATTAATCTATTGGCTTTGAAGGAGAGGTCAGAGGTCAAATGTGACATGCTATTTTAAATCTGTCAACAGTACTTACTATATGCTGACAATATACACCACACTAAGAATCGTACTTTCTAAGTTATGAGCCTTTTTGTCAGTTTTCCACCAATAAATCGTGAGGATAAGCTTGAAGATGTCGGTGGATGGAAGCCAAATTTTAGCATGACCCCCTCTACACCCCTACAAAGTTCTAGCAGAATTCATTCACGATGTTCGGAGCTATCGTGTGTCCTCATCACAACTGCCAAGGACGTTTACCCCTTTTACAGAAATACATCTTTCCAATATTTACACTGACCCCTGCCTTTTAAACATACTAGTGTCTAATTTTAAAGAGCCTCTAGAAGCAGATTCTTTTGTGCTTTACACATCTTCAGCACAGTGCTGAGATCAACAATATCCTACAATTTTAAGGTGTGAGTTATATGAAATGGTTGGCTCATAACAATAAAATCATGACATCCCTTGTTTTAGGTCCTCACAGTAAAGCAGCGGAGCACATACACAGCATCCTTCCACCAAGGCTGAAAATTCACTCAACACCGAGCATCAATAGAGTCTCTTGATCTAGAAGAATCCAGGTTTGTGTCTGAAACCTTCTTGTGAATATAAGGATGATTTCTCACCTCACTGTTTTTTTCCCATTTTAATTGATATTTAATTGTAATAAATAAATATAGTCTGTGGGTCAAGCCCCACCTCTGCAAAACTGTTGTTTTTGAATAATAATTTTTCAATAATCCTGAATCCTGCAAACAAACTAAACCAATCACATAACCTCTTTGGCAAAGGTAAATATATAGGTAGCCATAAATTTAAAAAAAAAGAATGAAATATTCATGTAGACTGAGAAAAAAACAATGCTTGGATATATAAACAGATTAGATGTAAACAACATCAAAGTCATGCTTGAGACGACCAATGTGATAAATTAAGACCAGGAAACTTCTGCAGCAGTGAACCACATTTTAATTTCAGACGCTGGGATCACTGGGACAGATATTTAGAGCCTTTCTCCTTCACTTCCTAAAGTCATAAAACATTTGGCTGATTGCTGAACATCTTTTTTATCTCAGCACTACCTCTGAGCTCTGTAGAAATCCCATGATCCTCATCACTCCATCAGGACAGGCTGTTGCCCTGGGAGTAATGAAGGCTGACAGTAGCTGCTGCTGCAGGCACCATGTGAAAGAGAGAGGCTGGACTAGACTACTGTGACAAGCAGGTATTGTTTCCACAGCCAAACCAGGCTCAGTGTGGGCTTCCAGTCTAATTTTGGGTAAATATCCTTACAGGCAGCAGCTTCAGCTCCACGAGTCCTTTTTTTTAAATTATTTTTTGAGTCAACAAGAAGAAAGTTGCAGCGAGGGGTGCAGAGAGGACGAAAACTGGTTTTACTCTGGCTCCACAAGTCTCTTATTTAACCAATGAATACTGTCTATTTATATCCACAGAAAATACAGTCACACTCACATAAAGCATCAGAGGCACTCTTTCTCCTTTCTGTGGAGAACACAGGACAGCTTTGTGCAGCCCCAGGGTTTTTCTCTGTTCCTTGCTGCATGTTGCCAAGGTCTCGCTCTCACAAGCTAAGACCAAGGATAAAGATGTGTGTTTTTTCTCTTGTACTGGAATGAAAACCAAGCTGAGCTTCTCTAGAGAAGGAGAAACTGTATTCTACTGTGCACTGCATGCCTTTCCTTCTTTGTAAATTCTAGTTCAATAGACCCCAAGTTAACTAGGAAGTCTTCCTTCAGACATAATAGCCTCTTTAATAATGGGATAAAATACAGAGGCAACAGCTTCAAGAGAACAGAACAGGTTCCACAGTATTTCCACAAGCTAGAACCGCACTGTGAAACTGTGAAATAACTTATATTACCATCAAGTGAAGTTTTTCCACACTATGCACATGCCAAGCAGAATAACAGAAAAAGCTCTTATTTAGGTAATAATATTTAGATAATCCTCCAAACTTACAGCAATTTATTCTGCATGTAACTACAACCCAACTTTAAAAAACAAAACCAAAAAAGTAGCTGATGATAACAAACAGGATGCAATCAATTTAAAATCATGTATATATTAGATCCTATTATATGTACTATTGTGTATTAAACGATTACACATTTTATATTACACAGATTTATAATACATATTTACAATATTGTTGTTTCAAATGGAGATTATATCCTCAAAGCTAAACTTTGTCAATATCTGTTTAATCCGATTAGATAAAGTTTTCTACTTCAGTTATTTCGTGCTGCAAAATGAGATTGTTGAGCATGCTAACACTGACCTTATGACCTGTCATGAATCCTACCATAAGACCGAGCCGGGCTGCTATCAGTCTGAAATTGAGCCCTCTTGTTAGTAGGATTCCCAGTGTATTTTCATGTATTTATTATTAATTGTGTTTTCATATATTTAATAAAATAGTTATCACAATTTTTCTCTGTTGGTCTTTATTAAGACTAACAGAGATGGACTGTAGGGCCAGGTTGTTCTTGTGTTGGTGTTATTAGCTAGTCAAGTTATGTATTACACCCAGACGTATGGTGCAGGGATGAAGTCTCTTCTAGCTCAGTGGTGATTTGGACTGGGAACAATGATTTCTGTGCTCCCACACAGCTAAGAGATCCAGGCTATTGGTAAAAGAAAAAAAACAGCTCTTGGGTTAAAAACTTGAGATTGCTGGAAACAAACCAAACGTGAAGAGCCCCTAGCTTTGTTGTGATATCACATGCTGTTGTTTTACCTTGAAGACGAACATCTCCCTTCTCAGTATGGCCAGGGTGTTGAAGCCTCCATCGCAGATGTTGGGTTTAGCATTGGGCTGCGACGGTCGCGTAGGCAGCATTGGGAGTTGCGTCTGCCTGTCTTGTTTACGAGGGTCCGAAGGAGGATGGGAGCGAGGAGAGGGCGCCGTTGGCAAAGGCTTGGTGGGCTGGGGGAGTTTATCGGGCGGCCCTGCGGGGAGTCAGAGAAATACATCTTATACGTCTCCGCAACATGTTGTTTTGCTTTTTCATTACTTCACCAGTTGAAGCTAACCAGCACTCTGATCTTGCAGGAGAAACGGATGTTCAAGCCAAGTTTAGTGGTGCCACTTGGAAAAACAACAACAAACAAACAAAGGTAAGAAGTGATGAAGGCTGCCAACGAGGACTCAACAAAGATATGAGAGAGAAAGGAGTCCACGGATAAACAAGATGAGGTCAGTGGGTAGAAATCAGTGGGTAGATGTTAACGCTGCCAAGTTTAGAGATTCAGCTTAGCAAAGCATAATATCATACGCTATAAAGACACAAAAAAACATCAGAGCAGAATTAGGTTTAATAAATGTAGATCATGTGATTTCATGCCAAATTCATGAATTACTGTACGTGATAAAGGAAAAGGAGTTATGCACACTGAGGCAGTGGCTAATAACAAATGGGCGTTGCCTATGAATAACGCATGACGCTGCATGATTAACGCACTCTGTGACTGTAAGGGGATGAGGTGCAGACAGACTGAGGAAGACAAGACTGTGACAAGACTAACGCTTGTTCCATGGTACTGCGCCTGTGTCACGTTTGCGCAGGTATTTGCCTGCGCAGAGCTTTCTAGAGTTGTTTTCAACCTGTGCTAACGAGATCCCGTGCAGACTTCCAAAGATAGAAAATTGCAGTCTTAAAAGTACAGACGCTCATTTCACGTCAGCTCTTTGTGCTTATAATTTTGCTGACTGATTGGACCAACAATAACACCACATACTTGGCACGCTAGCCTCTATCTGGCAGCAGACGCTTTCTGCAGGTAGACGTTTCGATCCGTACATCCCTACAGTCTGCCAACAGAGACCAATATTCAGCCCATAACGTGACAGAAAGACCTCACCTTAATCAGATAAAATGTATGATTTTAACGGCCTTCCATTCTTTCAGCAGACGTTCACAGACTTGCAGAATCAATGCCAAGGCCCACTGAAGCTGTCCTGGCAACATGTAGTGGCTACTTAGACATTTTACATTGGCTCTTCCTTTAATGTGTCATCCATCTGTAGTTGACAAACCAGACAATCGCAGGATTAAGCCATCACCCAGTCCACAAAACTGATCAGCGGGTCTACACGAGAGTGATTCCATTCACTGACTGAAGTTAATCCCCTGAAATACATCCCAGATTAGTGGAGCCAAAGTACTCTGAAGTTATGTAAGCATGGGGGAGATTCACAGTCAGATGGACGTGTAAACAAACAGGCAAATGTGTACTTGCAGCTACATTGTGGTAAACCGACGACAAGAAAAAATAAACACAGCTTTTTTGGGGGGCAGATTTTGGCTCTTTTGGTCACCCTGTAATTTCAGCATCTGGCTGTTGTTAATTTACTGGAGATGTCCAGGTGGCCCACGTGTTACACCAGTACTGTGGTGACTGGCTGGACCAATCAGCTAATTCCACCAATCTGTGCACTTGAAACAGGAATCTAATCAGCGAACTCTGTGGGTGGGAGTGGGAGACAAACTTCCCACACTTACAGATATTAGTGGAACACAGATGAAAACCAGCAATGCAGCCTAAGAACAAAGGAGCTGGAGAGCCTTTACAACCACAGAATTCATTCATGAACCACTCGTAGTTCACGTTCATATTGCTGATCTGCTTGGATTTAAATAAATACTGTGTATTATGTAAAACACTCAACACAAAAAGTTCAGACATTTTTCATAGTGCATGTTTGAGGTACTTATTTTATTTTTAGTGGGCTACATACTGAATTTAGAGCACAGAAAGAAAAAAGAAATCAATCCTATCACACTAGTATCGATCCGATACTGATACCAGCATGAGTATCGATACTATTGATATTTGGCTCGATTTGCATCATGGTTTCACCTTCTCATGTTGCAATTCCCTGACCACTACCTCAGCTGCTGCTGACCTCTCATCCCTACTACTAAAGCCATTAGCAGGATGTGAAGAGATGTAAGTGCAGAAACAGGAGGCCTGTGTGACAGAGAAACTTCAGAAGTATTACGTGACAGTCATGGTGGAGTAGTAAAGGATAGTGTTATTGCTGTAGCTGACTCCAGGGTCACTACTGATATGTTAGCCAATCTATGTGGACATACCAACTAGCAATGTGGATATGCTGACGCCTGTTTTTAGCATGCTAGTGTGGTTAAAGATATAAATGTGCAAAGAGTGAACATATACAGAAAATGAGAATATCAATATTGGAGTGTTTTATTGTTCATAATGGAATTATGACACAGGCTAATGGTCATGGTTTAAAGGAAAAATATCAAACAAAGATTTAACGAGGCCTAAAAGATAAGACATGTGAGACTTTTAAAATTTAATGCAGCTCTTGTTGGGCATCCGGCCATTTAGACGTTTAAGGCAGATTTACCCTTTAGTTATTTATGTAAAATTAGATTTAGCTCATTTTGTTTTCTTTAAAAGGTCCTAAAAATATAAACTCCAGCCCAACTTTTAAATCATGTTTACTGTTTGAGGGCTTCAGCTGAATTTCAATACAATTATGGCCTGAATAACATTAATGATTTTTGTTTCTGTCATCCCAGTCATCGACATCATGGTGCCTGAGCTCTGCTGCTTCTGTAAAAAGGAAGTGGGCACTGAGAACGCAGGAAGTCATTAAGTTCAAAGCCCAGTGGGAACATTGGGATTTGTCCAGGAAGAAAAAAAGATTACATGACAGAAATGCCACATCTATAGGTTTGAATGTGATCTGTACTTCATTGTTTCAAGCTGCCAAACTTTTTATTCACATAAGTCAATACATATCGAATGCACTTTACAGTGTTTTTTGTGACTACGGTTCAAAGAGTTGAAGGAATAAACAGAAGCAGCAAAGCCAAAACGTCCAAAAACTCTAGCAGTCAACTGATCCTCAGCAGCTCTTAGCTTCCCACAGTTCCTCGTATGATTGTGCCCGACTCTCCCAGACTGCAAGCCAACAGCTGTAAATGAACGCCAATTCACTCGCATTTCCTTCACATCTCGTTATACCGCTTCACCTTCACACAGAACCAAGTCGCACTTTTTTCCTACTCAACCTTAAGTGCATCACCTTGTACTCGATGTAAGCTGTGTACCTCCCACCTCTTCTCCTGTTTAGTACCACATCTAGCACTTGCACTGGCATGTGGAAAAAAAATGGAGGCCAATTACTGCGAGGGGGGTGGGGGGTACGAAGCTGAGAGCAGAGCTGTCATCAGTCGTCCTGCCCTTCAACTCTTGGTACGACACAGAGGAGAGGGAGGGAGGGGCAATGCAGAGGAATAAAACACGAGAGGGATGAAGAGAGATTTGATCGCTTGCCCAGGTCTGTCACTCCCAGAGGGACGTGCCCTGACCATGTAAGCAGATGGCAGGTTCAATGTGTGCGCGCGCATGCAGCCATTCAGCAGAGTGTGACTGGTGTACAGTGTCGACAGCTGTAAGGAACGATGCTGTCATTCGCCAACGAGTCGTTTCCGAACTTAGATGTCAAGCTGAGGTTGAGACGACAGCATCGGCACTCCCGATAACACATTTAAACATTAAGGCTTCCGCCTCCACAAGCCAGCCTCGTCTGAATTATCATTACAAGTATCCAGACTGATAACTGATTTTTGTCACTGCAATCTACTAATTCAACTACGAGTGAAAAAACCGAAGAAGCAAACTCTGTGGGTGCTTCCATAAATCCTTTGCCGTCAAATTGAATTTCACACTGCCGCCCCAGAGCTATATCAGCTTTATGAGAAGACAAAGCACTGTGCAATCAGCGTCTGTCAACTCCAAATGTGTGTCGATGAGGGATGCGTGCTGTAGGCGCTCTGATGATGAAGTATGATCGGAAATGTAGGTCTTAATTGAATTCAATTTAAGTATTTGAGCCTTAATTTGAATCTTGGTCTTAATCTTATTTCTGTAACTGTGAAAGTTTGTTACAATAACGCAGAAAACAAGAGCTCCAGGTGAAGGAAGATGACTTACTTTAGCTATGCCAGCTTCATATGGTTAGGTGTGTTGGGCAGTGTACTTATAGTTTAGCTCTTACATGGTCTACTGACTTGATATGTCACAGGAAGATGACTATGAATGCTTAGTATGTTATTGGCTTGCTTGTATGACAGCTAAAGCCTGAAGACTAACTCCTCAGACCACACTGATAAACTCTAATACTTGGCTGTGTCCTGCGTTTGCTTAACAAATTGCTGTATTTAAATAAAAAAAGAAAAAAAGAAGGCTTACCATAAATTTTCTGGATGCCTAGCAGGTCATCCATTGGTAGTTTGAAGTCATCCGTGTCCATGTACTGATAGAAAGGAGCCATGATAGCTGTGGGGTCGTTGGAGTGTTCGAGGCCCAGTGCGTGACCAAGCTCATGGACGGCTACCAGGAACAAATCGTTACCTAGAAACACGAAGAGAGAGTGAAGGAGAGAGCAGCTCTGTCAGTGCTGTTGGACGTAAACGAAAACAAGCGAATTCAGAAAGAAAAAGAAAAGAGAAAACTTTGTCAGCCCCGGGTTATTGTGGCTTGTCATGGTCCACCTGTTCTAGTGCCAGAGAGGTTCCCTCAAAATAAGGCCAAGTTTTGAAAGTTTGTACAGCCGTGTTTAAATAAGCAGCAGCCCTACAGGGGAAAAGCTGACTGTGTCTTACAATATGCATCCATACATATATAAGGGTCTATGCATGAGCACAGATAATCCACCATCTGCGCTCCTAACCAGTCCATCTTCAGACAGAAACACAGGCTCGTACACATACATGTGTAATAAATACAAGTGCACTTCAAAGAGCACAGGCAACCCTGCGAACTGTAATTAGTCTCTAGCTGCGGTAAGCTGAAGACTACACTGGGTTCTTGACCTCTCGACTCAGAAACTCTCTGTGGCTAACAGCCAAACCCCAGCCCAACCCTAGCTGTATTAAAGCTGAGATATTTGGGATTGAAAGCCTCCTATTCCTCAACTTACGTCACTGGCAACCAAAACAACAACAAAAACCAGTCCTCCTCATCCTCCTCTCTGATGTTCTGCCAGCGTTTTGAATCTGACCCATAAAGAAGCTCATCATCATACAATTAGGGTTAGACTGCTACGTCTTCTATTATTTGTGGCTATACACGGGCTGTCTGTGGGAAACTATTAACCTGATTCCAATGAGACGTCTTACGCTGCAATATGTTATTGCTGAACTTCAAAGGAAAGCTTTTTTTCCTAGCTGTCAGACACAAAAAGTTATGGTTTACCGTTATGCATGAAAATGTAATAGCAGTTAGACAAAGGTCGGCTGGAGTTTAGAGTCAAACTGGTCAAAAACAAAAAAATATGGGGTGAGCACCATCACCTCGCAGCAAAAAGGGTTCGCTCTGGATACTCTGGCTTCTTCCCACAGTCCAAAGACAAAGATGGGGTTAGGCCAACTCGTGACTCTAAATTGAGCTTGTCTGTCTGTGTTAACCCTGCGACAGACTGGCCAGGGTGTGCCCTGCCTTTCGTCCTGCGATGCTAACCTGGATTAGTGGAAGAAAATGGCTGGAAGAAAAAAACAAAAAGGATTTAATGTGTTTTGAGGGGGGTTTCTTTTGCACTCTCCAAGCTGCCATCTCTCTTCAGTTTTACCTTTGCTTTTTTTTTCTTCTCCCCCCTTATCGCGACAAGACTCAGTGGGGATAAGCATCACTTATTCATTGGTATTCCTACGAAAGTGAGGCACTTATCTGCTGCAAATCTGTCACATGAATAACGCATCAGCAGATACAGAGACTGAGATTTAGATCTCTTCATCGCAGGTACAGTGCGATACTTAGGAATTTACGGACAAGGCTACAACAGAGAAACGGGTTAATTGGGACCTCATGAATGATATTTGACTGTATAAATGTCAGCAGGTCTTTATAGGTGTGATGGAAAGCTCTTGCGTTAATACCCAGGTTTTCGCTGAAACAGCTTCGGGTTTCAGTCCAAGTCGTCCAATGAAAATAGATGGCTTGTAAAAGTTAGAGAAGTGTAGAAATTGAGGCAAAATTTATGCAAGCTTGTAATATTGAACAAGTGTCTGGAGATGTGGTTTATAGCAAATAAAGAGAGGCAGAGAGAAAGAAAGGAGATAAAGAGGAGAGAGATACAGCTCAGTGATTCAGGAATTATTTGAGGAGGAAATCGGGCGAGCCAGCTCTGCAGCTGAAGATCTTCCACCCCCCGCCCGAGTTGTTTCCTGGGATAGCAGCGGAAGCAGAAGGGTAAGAGTGAACAATTAAGTCTAAAAAAAATGAAAAAATCAAATTAATTCTATGAAAATAGCCGGTAGAGTTACAGCACACAAATGTGATGGTGGTCTGTGAAGAGATTTTGATCTTAGTGTAGCTGTACACGTGCTTGCTCGATTTACCCACACTAACTGGCATCATTTCTGACTTCATAAATCACATTAATAACTCACTGACCGCATCAGCACTCACTGACTCACTGACCTCATATTTCTTTTCTTACCAAAAAAGACTTGAAGCTCAGAGTGTTAAAAAAAATGTGTGTAGCACGTTTTGACATCATATGTGAGTAAAGTCAAGTCAGTCAAGTCAAGATTTATTTATAGAGCACATTTAAAAACAACCAAGGCTGACCAAAGTGCTGTACAGTAAATACAGATAAAAATACAATAGAACACAATTTCGTAGTAACACCTCGCTGATAAAAATAAAATAAAAAAATTAAAGTAAAGTGGAATTATTGACTGTATATGTAATATTAATGCGACTACATTTACACCAGACCTCTGTCTGTCACCTCATCGTACCTGATCCTTAGTACCCAGAAGGTTATTAGTAAACAAGTAAAGGTTTACTTATGTGGCACTTTTCACAGACTAGGCAGTCACAAAGTAAAAAATATTGACTTTAGTAAGTTGTCCCAGTAATATATAGCTCTCATATACTGTTTTATTGAGAAATACAGTATATGAGAGCTATTGCACAACGAGTTCTGACACTACAGATGCTCAGGTCATCAGGTGCACGACTTAAGTGAGGAACTGTCTCTGTCGTTTTCCGTCTCCATCTCGTTCCATCGCTCAATCTTGAGTCAGCCTTCCTGCCTCCCGGGTCCCTCTGAGGTCAGTGTCGTCGCTTTGACTCGGCTGCTTATGTAAGTCACGTTGTGTTAGATGGGGATGTCCTGTCGACCCTGGGGCCACAAACAAAGCTAAGGCAGTTTGTACCGCCTGGCTAATTATCAGCTGGAAGTTACAGAGAGCCCAGAGAGAAAATGGTGACGCCTAGACAGACGTGGGTAGATGAAGAGGATGGAGCCAGATGAAAGAAACAAAGAGCTTCAGTGCACAAGGAGGGAAACCAAGCGAGATGAAGGTGAGAGAAAAAGTTATAGAATGGGGAAACAGAGGGGGGGGAGACAAAGATTTGATATAGTGGATGCATAGAGAGATAAAAAAGGTGAAGTAAACCAAGGAGAAAGGGCGTTTGGAGTGATAGCTACATGAGGGAAACTGGGGGGAGAAGGATGATAAAAAGAAATAGAAAAAACCTGAGGCGAGGAAAACGATAAGGTTCGGGACAGTGTACTATCGTGTAAGAGTGCTCCAGTATTCGTTCAATCACAGAAGACGAAAATGATGAATTACACGACTCCAACCTCTGACCTTGGCATTTATAACATCGCTCTACTGTCAGTGGCCCAATCGCAACCCCAAACACAAAATAATAACGCAGAAAATAGAGGATGCAGTTGAAGAAAACAATGCCAGGAGATGAAATGCATTACAAATCTGTGCAGGGTTTGTGCGATAATCCACAGAGGGTCACAGTTTTTGGATTGGGGGGATTTGAGTCCTGTATTTTCATTGTGCGGTGAGTCATCGTTATGATGTGTGCCGTTTGCGTATTTGAGCAAGATTTCAGCACAAAAAAAGACAAGTATTTATTTAGCACATGAATGAGTTTTAAGTAATAAAAATCTGCTTGTGTTAAATGATTCAGCAGATTTTTTGGTTTTTTGTCCTGTTAAGTGGGCAACGATCAAGCGGCAGCTGCAGTGTTGCCCACACTGCTCAGGATAGGGTCAAGGTTGCTGCTAATGAGGGTCGAGGAGAAAGAAAAGAAAAATGAAATTAAAAAAATTGAAATTGGAATGAAAGTGGAGATTTACAATCTTTGCCCACAGGATGTGCAGTAAGCAGGGGCTTTGATTAAAACGCAGAAACCTCTACCTGCTCTCCCTGAACTTACCGCGAGGAGTGCAGAGAGACTGCGTAGGGTTGGAGATGAACACACACTATGGTCACCACTGTTCAATTGCAGTAATAGCTCAGGTTGTCAGCAAAAGCCTCCAGGGGCCCATAACCCTTCCTGCCTGCTTACTGCTTAACTAAGTGCCCGTGGTTCACTCAATACATGACATCTGATGTAAGCTACAAGCCTGGGTGACCAGCAGTCAGCCCACTTGTAAGTGTACCTTGTTCTTTATCCCTCCCAGCTCTCACGTTATCAAATTCTTGTGCTTCTTTTTTACTGTACAAATCCCAAACGCCACCAAAGGACCAAGTTTTCAAAAACACAGCATCCCCTGTGACTCCTAACTACACATCAACATCAAGCTAGTGAAAGGTGTCAAACAAAGCAATTACAACTCTCACTTGTTTTATTACAGTGAAGAGGGCACCCAGCAGAGATGAACAAAATTCTAACTCCCCCACCCTTTCTTTAGAAAACACAGCTGTTATTGTGCCGTCCGAGTGTAAGCAAGCATAAGCACTCTCTTTGTCTCAGGGGATCACAAATGTTTCCTATTGTTCAGCTCCCACAGCGCCCTGAATGGCTGACACTATGATTTCAAGAGTGGTGTTCGAAGAAGCAGCACTGCACAGTAAAGTAAATGCAAAAGGATGTTAATTGCCACCTCAGGAGCGTCTCTGGTGGATTGACAGAGCACAAGAAACAAGAGCGAGGACACTGGTTCCTTGGTTTCATACAGAAGTCTCAGCAGGACCTAAAGCAGCCCTCACCAGTTGTTTTTTTTGAAGCCTTGTCTAAGCCTAAATCGTAGGTCCAGGTCTAAGAAGTTAACCAAGGAAGTGTGGCACTGAACCTGCGCAATTATGAAGTAAGAAAAACACTGTTTTAAACAAAAGAAGCTAAGCGTACGTTAGCTCATCCTAGCTGCCATCTCTTGGCTGCGTAATCCCTTCTGGTTCCTTTGCTTTTTTCTACTGACTTTAACTGTTTTTACATTACAGTCAAACTATTCATCAGTGTTTAGCTATGACTTTTAGCTAACTACTTCAGTTCCTTAAGCACTACTGTACTGTTAGTTAATTATTAGCTACTTTAATAGTTCAGCTATTTGTGCATGACTTTAGCTTATTATTATTTTAACTGTCTGTGCATTATTTTAG